AGCTTAGAGCTCACTCCTCGGCTCTGTCTCTGTAGCCGGCTTCCCGGTTCTAATACCTGTAAGCTCTGCGACACTCAGACACCCCCGATCCTTCTGTGACCCTGCGGGACCTGAGGCCACGCTGACCCTGCCTGCGCTTCACCCCAGTTAAGCCTCTGGAGCGATGTCCCTCAGCGGAACAGACTTTTAAAAGTCCTGATTTTGTGCTCCATTGCTCTGCCGCTTGCCGGGAGCCGGCCCCTCCCCCCGCGGTCTATCTTCCCTTCGTTTTGGATTCACGTCTCCGCCAGTCCTACCTTTCAGAAAGTGGTTGATTTTCTGTTTCTAGAATTGCTGTTCTTCTTCTCTTCGATTTCCCTTTGGATTTGTAGGTGTTTGCAATCTTTAGATGAGCTATCTAGCTGATCTCCTGCTACCTGAAGTAGTCTCAGTCTGCTACTTCTCCGCCATCTTGACTCCTCCCCTTTCCTCCTTCCCTTTTCTTAATGCTAGCACCTTACATAACTATACCACAAACATCAAAGTCAGGAAGTGAACATTGATAGAATACTATGCAACCATGAGAGTATAATTGCAATTAAGTTATTGCTATCTTGAAGAAAGGACTTTACTCAAATGGGATGTACACTGGCTGCTAAAAAATGGAAATGTGGAGCTCTCTTGTCCCACCAAAACTGTCAACAGGAAACAGTACCAGGCTAGATCATGAGTGAAATCATAGCTGATATCGGAGTAACTGGGAATCCATCCACACTTTCAACCTTTTCCCCTTCAACTCTCAGTTGGGTTACTGGAAAAGTAGATGGATCTCAGATGTCAACTGAGGATTATAGGAAACTAATGCAATGGATCTGTAACTGTTTTTCTATGGGAAGATCTTTCTAAATCATCCTTGACTGGGGGGTGCCCAGGTGGCTCAGTTGGTTAAGCATCTGCCTTTGGCTCAGGTCATGATCCCAGGATTCTGGGATTGAGCAAGCCCCCAAGTTGGCTCCCCACTCAGCAGGGGGTCTGCTTCTCCCTCTCCCTCTGCCTGCAGCTCTGCCTACTTGTGCCATTAAATAAATCAAATCTTTAAAAAAAAAATCATCGCTGGGGCACTTGGGTGGCTCAGTAGTTGGATGTCTGCCTTCGGCTCAGGTCATGATCCTGGGGACCTGGGAATGCTTCTCCGTCTCCCACTCCCCTGCTTGTGTTCCCTGTCTCGCTTTATCTCTCTGTCAAATAAATAAATAAAATCTTTTAAAAAATCATCCTTGATTATTATCCTTTTACTGACCTTGATAGGGCATTGTTTTCATTTTTTTTTTAAGATTTTATTTATTTATTTGACAGAGGGCAGGGGGTGGGGAAGAGAGAGAGAGATGGTGAGAGAGAGAGCACAAGCAAGGGGAAGGGCAAGCAGAGGGAGAGGAAGAAGCAGGAACCGTGCTGAGCAAGGAGCCTCATGGGATGTAGGCTGCTCCCACGACGACACTGGGATCATACCCTGAGTTGAAGGCAGATGCTTAACCTACTGATCTACCCAGATGCCCCTGGGGCGTTGTCTTTTAATCCCAGTTTTTTCGTTGTTGTTGTTGTTGTTTTTTCTTTTTCTTTTTTTTTTTTTACATTTTAGACATCAACAACAGCTTGCGGTTACTTGGTGGCCAGTGATTTACCTTTACAGTCTTGCCTCCAAAATATTTCAACTCTCTAACATTTGACATAATCTGTTAAAGTGATATTTAAACAGGTGTCCTAAGCCTAACTGGGATAGTGAAATTACTCATATATATATTTTTAAGATTTTATTTATTTATTTGACAGACAGAGATCACAAGTAGGCAGAGAGGCAGGCAGAGAGAGAGGAGGAAGCAGGCTCCCCGCTGAGCAGAGAGCCGGATGCGGGGCTCAATCCCAGGACACTGGGATCATGAACTGAACCAAAGGCAGAGGCTTAACACACTGAGCCACCCAGGTGCCCCGTGAAATTACTCATATTGATGGCATGCTGATAGGTGATAATGAAGTAAAATTTCTGAAGTTTAGCCTTTCCCTACTGAGTTAATAACAAAAAGTCAGTGGGCTATTACACATGGAAGAGGTCAGGGGCCAGCTCAGATGGAAACCTTTCTGGGAGTGTAATTATATGGGGGGTAACCTGAGAGATTCTACCCTACATCAGGCAAAGACTATCCATAAAGTTCCTACCCCTAAAATAGGGGCACAAAAATTAATTTTTATGTTTAATATTGGAGATAGTAAGACACATTTCCGGTATTAAGCTACAGCTACTTCAACAAATCACTAGGCAAATATTAGAATTTGTAGGAAACCACCCCCCTTTCTTACAGCAGCCAACTCTTTTTCAGATTATGGATAACCCACCCTGTCAGCTGACCTGCAAAGTACTTATTTCTTCCATGGAGTTCCTAAGTGCAGAATTCCCTACAGGAAGGCATTTTGAATGGCCTAGCCCAGGCCTCCTCCTTTTTTTTTTTTTTTAAGATTTTATTCATCCATTTGACAGAGACATAAAGGGCACGCTCAAGCAGGGGGAGAGAGAAGAGCAGGCTTCCCCACTGCAGGGAGCCCACCGTGGGGGATGATCCCAGGACCCCCAGACCTCCTTCTTTGCTGCTTTTCCCTCATGTGCCTGGGAGCCATTTCTGTGCTTCTTCACAGCAACCCTTCTTCACGGGGAAGGGAGAGGTAGAAGGCACCTTTTTCTTTGCCTTTCTGAAACCTAAGTGCAGATTTCAATTTTAAATTTCTTTCTCTTGGGGGCACCTGGGTGACTCAGTCCTTAGGCATCTGCCTTCGGCTCAGGTCATTATCCCAGGGTCCTAGGATCAAACCCCACATCAGGATCCCTGCTCAGCAGGAAGCCTGCTTCTCCTTCTCCCACTCCCCCTGCTTGTGTTCCCTCTCTCGCTGTCTGTCAAATACATAAAATCTCAACAACAACAAAAATTCCCTCTTTTCTTTCTCTTTCTCTCTCTCTTTGGGTGGGCGGCAAAGGGAGAGGGAGAATCTCAAGCAGGTTCCACACCCAGCATGGAGCCTGATGTGGGGATTGATCTCATAATCCTAAGATTATGACCTGAGCCAAAATCAAGAGCCAGCCACTTAACCTACTAAGCCAGGTGGCCCTGAGAGCCGATGTCAGTTGTGCAAGTGGCCGCAGCAGGCCAGGTAAATTCTTTGTAAGCTGAGTGTTCCTGGATTGAGCACAGCCAGCAACACTGTATTTTTTAATTTTTTAAAAAGATTTTATTTATTTATTTATTTATTTATTTACTTGAGAGAGAAAGAACACCAAGAGGGAGAGGGAGAAGCAAACACCCTGCTAAGCAGAGAGACCAACCCGGGGCTTGATCCAGCACCAGGATCATGACACAAGACGAAGGCAGATGTTTAACCAACTGAGCCACCCAGGGGCCCCAGTCTGCAACACTTTAAACAACAGGTATTTAAAATACTCCACAGCAGTTACTTCAGGGGTAGAGAGGTCGAAACTCACTGAACTCTGAGATCTGGGACCTAGTCTGGCTTCTTTTTGTTCAGTTTATAACTAAGTGTTGAGCTTCCACTCGCTGGGCATCTTCTGTGCGCTCCAACCAGTAGTCTGAGCTGAATGGTTGGGTTTAGCTAATGAAAGGCACTGGCAAATATGTGAAGGGCGAGGGGTGCCTGGGTGGCTCAGTGGGTTAAAGCCTCTGTTTCAGCTCCGGTCATGATCCCAGGGTCCTGGGATCAAGCCTGGCATCAGGTCGGGCTCTCTGCTCAGCAGGGAGCCTGCTTCCCTGTCCCCTGTCTTTCTGCCTACTGGTGATCTCTGTCTGTCAAATAAATAAATAAAATCTTAAAAAACAAAACAAAACGTGAAGGTCGAGAGAAGAGTTAGGTCAAGGTATTTATTCTCTCCCCACTCCTCCTAATTCACCTTGGATTGTCTTCCTCCCACCACCCTGGCTACACCATCCTGCCAGGCAACCCTCTGCCCTTGAGCCTTCTGCACCCAAGGTTCTGCACCCAACCTTGTTTGTGTTTTAACCTTGCCCGATGACTCTGGAAATAGTCCTCTTATGAAACTCTCCACAAATTACGCAATTGGGAAGTGCCACTTGTTCCTTGCCAGAACTCAACACGGAGACTGTCAGTGACCAGATCTGTGAATTAAAAAGTAAAACTCCAGGGGCACATGGGTGACTCAGTCCGTTAAGGGTCTGCCTTCAGCTGGGGTCCTGATCCCAAAGTTCTGGGATCACGCCTTGAATCAGGCACCCTGCTCCCCAAGAAGCATGCTACTCCCTCTCCCTCTGCTTGCCACTTCCCCTGCTTATGCACCCGTGATCTCTCTAAATAAACAGATCTCAAGAAAAGCAAAACTCTTACCGAGTTTGATCTGTGCAGTGTTTCTACATAGGGTAGCCCACATATTCATCCCAATATGCCTTTTATAGACAAAGAGGCTGAATTCAGGGACTTAATTACACATCTTGCTAAGTAAGGATCACCAGGATACTAAGGAGCAGGAGCAGACTGGAATTCAGGTAAATCTCACTCCATCAACATCTACCTGCTCTGGAAGCACCCTTGGTGCCCTTGACTCTGGGGGAAAGGCTCTGTAAAGGACTGAGGCAAAGGAAGGATTAGGCTGTTTCTCCACTGCTATTTGAATGACAATCACCTGGGATGCTTTCTACAACTCCAGATTCTTGGAGCTGCCATCGTCTTTCCCCATCTCAGCCTTCTGTGTATCTCAATTCCACACTTACTACACCGGACTGCAGAATCAATAATGAACTCTTAATTTAGCAGCTCCTTTCTTCCGACCAGACACTAGAGGATTTGCGCAAACGCTAGGAGACCTCACACAGCGGCTGAGAGTGTCCCACGTGCGTCCAACATGCGACGCGCAAAGGTTCCAACTGCAACTGCTTCCCAGAGAGGTGGAGAGACGCCGGGATGGACACGTGACTGGGAAGCCTGCAATCCTCAGTTCAGCAAAAATCAGGATGGCTGCGACCTGGAGACTGGAGCCCGCGGGCCGCTGCAGCTGGGACGAGCCCGTGCGCATCGCCGTGCGCGGCCTGGCCCCGCGACAGCCCGTCACGCTGCGCGCGTCCCTGCGCGACGAGACGGGCGCGCTCTTCCGGGCCCACGCGCGGTACGAAGCCGACGCCGGTGGCCTCCTGGACCTGGAGCGCGCGCCCGCGCTGGGCGGCAGCTTCGTGGGGCTCGAGCCCATGGGGCTGCTCTGGGCCCTGGAGCCCGAGAAGCCCCTGGTGCGGCTCGTGAAGCGGGACGTGCAGACGCCCTTCGCCGTGGAGCTGGAGGTGCTCGACGGCCACGAGCCCGACGCGGGTCGCGTCCTGGGCCGGACGGTGCACGAGCGCGACTTCCTGCGGCCGGGCGTGCGGCGGGAGCCGGTGCGCGCGGGCCGGGTGCGCGCCACGCTCTTCCTGCCCCCAGGTGAGCGCCCCGGGTCCCAGGCTGTTCTGGAGAAGCGGGGTGGGGAAGTCCCGGGGCCCTGGGCGGCCTCTTGGCTGGCATGGGGAACCACATGATTGGGGAATTTTTCCTAAACTCGTCCCCACACTCCAGAGTCTCTCATGGATTCTGGATAGAAGTTTGTTTTTCTCTTTAAGTTTCATGACACTTCCTAGAGTCACTACCACTCCTTAGCTGTACGCTAAAATGTGCATTCAACATACTCAGAAAGGGCATTTATGTCAAGTGCCAGCCAGGCGGCTGTGTTTCAGATACCAGTATTAGGTAATGATTTATGCCGCTGTGCAAGAGTGATCTTTGCCTCTTTCCACATCAAATTTCCAAGGAAGCTAAACGCCACAGGTAGAGGCAGTGCTCCCTAATCCTAAAAAACCAAACGGATGACCACCTTCTCCCATCATGAACAGTCTGTCAGTGATTTTTTTTTTTACGATTTTATTTATTTATTTGAGAGAGAGAGAGAGAGAGAATACACATAAGCAGCAGGGAGGGGCAGAGGGCGCTCCTTATGATTTGTGGTGCTTTCTAGGTGCAGGACCCTTCCCCGCGATCATCGATCTGTTTGGAAGTGGTGGTGGCCTTTGTGAATATAGGGCCAGCCTCCTGGCTGGACATGGTTTCGCTGTGCTTGCTTTGGCTTACTTCAGATTTGAAGACCTCCCTGAGCATTTGGATGTTATGCACCTGGAGTACTTTGAAGAAGCTGTGAACTTCATGCTGCAGCATCCACAGGTGGGTTCTGCTGCTTGCCTGGATGCAGAGGAGAGGGAGTAGAGCAGACACAGGACTGGATTCAAAAACTCTACCAGGACACAGGGGCACAGAAAGATGTTGTGAGACACCAAAGTTCCTTCAAAAGTTACTAGGATTATTCTTTTCATTTCTACCCATCTTTTTCCAATCTCTTAAGACTCAACTGTTTAATTCCCTTTAATTCTTCTTTTTTAAACAATTTTTATTTATTTATTTTTTTAAAAGATTTTATTTATTTATTTGACAGACAGAGATCACAAGTAGGCAGAGAGGCAGGCAGAGAGAGAGGGGAAAGCAGGCTCCCCGCTGAGCAGAGAGCTCGATGTGGGGCTCGATGTGGGGCTCAATCCCAGGATCCTGAGATCATAACCTGAGCCGAAGGCAGAGTCTTAAACCACTGAGCCACCCAGGCGGCCCTAATTCCCTTTAATTCTTGACCATCATTCAAAGGGCTCTACTAAAATGTTAGTAACCTTAAATTCTGATTCTCTGTCTACCACCACACGGCCTTATAATCCTGAATAAGGCAACTGCTTTCTCTGAGATTCAGCTTTTTTCATTTATAAGGCTATTCTAAATGTACAGAGGAAAACATTTGACTACTAAGAGACATTTTAGGACATTTGAAAAGGGAGTATATTTGATGATATTAAGGAATCATTAATTTTGTTAAGTGTGATGATGGCATTATGTCTTTAGAGAGTTCTTATCTGAGACTGGAAAAAATAATCAAAACATTTTGGTATGATTGTAAATGGAATACATACTCTTCAACTATATAGACATAAACCCAAATCTTCTACTGTTAAGTAACAAAATGTTCTGTCAGCTCTGTAGGGTACTCGAACTCTGCCAGAATCCAGGGAATGGTCTCTTAGCAGAGTTGCTAAAACCTAGATGATCTTGAACTGTGATTATTGGTTTATTAGAGGAGATAAGGCCCCAGGGAAGAAGAAGACACCAGTATATGGTATCAGTTCTGCCCTTAGACCTAGGCAACAGGGGCTTCTGTCCTGGGCCTATTGTTTTAGATGGCCACACTCTGGCCTTCCACAGGGTGCGGAGTCCAAGGGACCCAGGCAATGTATGCACCTGGAATTCGTGTCCCTTAGACACACACACCCCATGCCATTGTGATCTGGAGCCCCAGAATTCTTTGCCAGATAGCACTGATCCTGCTTCCAGGCCCTATGTCTCTTCTCTGAGCTATCAATGAGAACACACGTAGGCCTTAAACATGTAGGCTGGGGTGTCCACATACATGTGTGCGAGGCCTCTCAAGGTGCATGATGGACCTAGGGACAGGAAAAGAAGGTAGGTGGGCCAGGGATGGAGGACTGGACTGCCTTTCCCGCAGGCCATATCCCAGTACAGAACTTCAAGGACTCCCAAGCTTTCAGATTTTCTCTTATGGAGGTATATTTATGAAGGTGGGAGCCAAGAATATATTCGAAGAGTTTGTTGATTTGATTTATAACTTTTAAACACTTAGATGTGGGGTGTATGGGTCTCCGTGTGGACTCTTGACCCAGTCGCCATGAATATTAGTGGAAGGCCTGTGTACTAGGAAATCAATTGATTTGCTTCCTACAAGACACAGTTGAGCTTTGTGGGTTGCTGCATAAGGAAAGAAAGTGAATGACATTTAAGAAAGCTGCGTAGAGACTAAAAATCACCATTTATGTCCTCCACTTACAAACTCTGGGCTTGTTCTGTTTCTCTTCTTTAGGTGAAAGGCCCAAATGTTGGGCTCCTTGGCTTCTCCAAAGGGGGTGACCTGTGTCTCTCAATGGCCTCTTTCTTGAAGGGCATCACAGCCACGGTCCTTATCAATTCCTGTGTGGCCAACACAATAGCTCCTCTGCATTACAAGGATATGATTATTCCCAGTCTTGGCAGTGACCCAGGGAGATGTACAATTAATGAGTCGGGACTTTTCCAGTTTGTAGATTATTGGGACAACCCACTGGAGGAACCCAATCACCCAAGTATTATTCCAGTGGAAAGGGCCCAGGGGCCCTTCCTGTTCATTGTTGGCATGGATGATCAAGACTGGAAGAGTCACGTCTATGCTCAGATAGCCTCTGAACGGTTACAAGCCCATGGGAAAGACAGACCCCAGATAATCTGCTACCCAGGGGCTGGTCATTGCATTGATCCACCTTACTTTCCTCCTTGCAGAGCTTCTGTACATAGAGTGTTAGGCAAAGCAGTCCTCCATGGAGGTGAGCCAAAGGCTCAGTCAAGGGCACAGGTAGATACCTGGCAGCAAATTCAGACGTTCTTCCATAAATATCTCAGTGGTGAAGCATCTGCCCAGTCCTGCAAAATATAACATTGTAGTGATCATAGACCGGGTACTATGAATAAAAATCTAATTCATAGGGGCGCCTGGGTGGCTCAGTCGTTAAGTGTCTGCCTTCGCCTCGGGTCATGATCCCAGGGTCCTGAGATGGAGCCCCACATCGGGCTCCCTGGTCCACAGGAAGCCTGCTTCTCCCTCTCCCTCTGCTGCTCCCCCTACCTGTGTTCCCTCTCTCGCTGTGTCTCTGTCAAATAAATAAATAAAATCTTTAAAATAAAAATCTAATTCCTAGAACATGTATGGGGTTTTCCAAAGCACATAGGAAACTTTTGGCAACAAAATAATTATCTTAGCTTCGGGCCAGGTCCTGTTGGATTCCCAGACTTTGCAACCCTCCTTTCTTCTCTGCCACCCCTTTCTCCCTGAACTTTCCCTACCACATAGGCTTAACCGTGATCTTATCCTAGGAGCAATCTTAACCTGAAGTAGGAGAAATGTGAGAAGTACCTGCCCAGCTCTTAATTGCTGGTCTAGCTTTGACAAACTGTGTTCTGGTTTTGAAGACTGAGCTTCTGTATTGCTAAGAGTTCGGTATCCCGTGGGGTGCCCGGGTGGCTCAATGGGTTAAAGCCTCTGCCTTTGGCTCAGGTCATGATCCCAGGATCCTGGGATGGAGCAGCATATTGGGCTCTCTGCCCAGCAGGGAGCCTGCTTCCTCCTCTCTCTCTCTCTCTCTCTCTCTGCCTGCCTTTCTGCCTACTTGTGATCTCTGTCTGTCAAATAAATAAATTATTTAAAACTCTTTTAAAAACTTATCTATTTATCTTTTAAAAAACACAACATTTAGGGACGCCTGTGTGTCTCAGTCCGTTAAGCTTCTGCCTTTGGCTGAGGTCAGGCTCCCAAGATCCTGGGATCAGGTCCCACATCAGGCTCATTGCTCAACAGGGTGCCTGCTTTTGTCTCTGCTTGCTGTTCTCCCAGCTTATGCTAGCTCGCTCTCTCTCTCTCTGTCTCTGACAAATAAATCTTTTTTAAAAAATTAAAAAAGAAATAAAAACCTAACAGTTAAATTTCATGAGGGAGAAGTAATGGATCCTACAAAATTTAAGTGGGATTCCAACTTGAAAGATCCTAAGAGAGAGGGAATAAGGCCTTTTGGGTGCCTTCCAACTCTGAGATTGTCAGAGGTGCTGGATTCCAGAACTTTCGACTTGTTCTTGCATTCTGAGGTTGGACACGACAGTCACAGATTAAATTTAACCCTCTTAACTTATTACCCAGTCCCAGGCTTCTCACAGGGCTCATTACAGTTACCAACTTGGAGTATATCCTTCCAGAACCATTTTACATGCATGTACATGGAAATATTTGTTTGAATGTAAAAATATGGTTTTATTTTGTGAGTCCCGGGGCTTTTTCTGGAAAACAAGGACAGTCATGATGTATGTTTTTTCTGCATATAAAAACACATTTTTAATACTTGGGCCAGGCCCCAAGACAATACCAGTTATTTCCATAGCGTATACATCTGTAGCGCTGCCTCATCTACAACGTTTAAGCTTTAACCTTGGCAGTCTTTCTTAATCCCAGGCAAAGAAATTTCAAGGAAGGAATTTGGCCAAAGGCTATTATTACACCTAGCCTCCTTCAACTAGGTTTAGGGAATTGTGATCCCTCGTGGCCAGGGAGGGACTTTAAAGAAAGAGACCGGCCAGCATTCTGTCAGATCAGTAACTTCTCTCCCTCGCCGCGTCCAGAAGTAGGCTGGGGAGGAGCTCCTGCCTCTTAAGCCGTCCCACGACGAGGACTCCAAAAGCATGACCGACCCCGGGTCCTCCTAAGTCGCCTCTTCTTGCAGCATTTTGCTGAGCGGTGCCCCAGGGACCAGTCAAGGGCCCTCCTGCCCTCCGGAAAAGCGGAGGTCGCACTGGGCCCCGCCCGTCCCGGCGCCGCCGGGCTCGTGCCGCACGGGCTGCCCCGCCCCGTCCCACCGCGCCCGGGGACCACTGACTCTCTGTCCTGCCGCCGCCCGGCTGCAGACCTTGCGTCCGAACCAAAGCCGCGAAGATCTCGGGGTCATGTGCAGGGCTGCCCAGGCGGTGCTCGGGACCCCCAGGATCCCCCTGCTGCCCCGGAGGTGGTTGTGCACATTGACCCTTCCCTCCCAGAAGTCCACGACCCCGAGCGTCACGCCTAAGACTGCGCTGGCCGACGAGCTCCTGGACATTAAAGTGGAAGGCTTAGGCCCGAGGGAGCGGGTGAGCCTGCGGGCGTCGGCCGTCAGCTACCGAGGCCGCCTCTTCCATTCGCTGGCGCACTACGAGGCGGACGGCCGCGGGGGCTTGGACCTGGCCGGGCCCCGGCTGTGGGCGGCGACTTCACGGGCGTGGAGCCCATCGGGCTCCTGTGGAGCCTGACGGCGGTCGGCTCCGAGGATCCCGGCTTCAACCAGGTGCCGAGGGGCGTGATGAAAAGCCCGCTCAAAGTGGAGGTGACCGTCCCCCGCGCGCCGCGGCAGCCGGCGGTGTCGCTGGGCCCGGCGCTGGCCTCCGCTCAGGTGCAGCGCTGCTTCTCCAGGCCCGAGCTGCGCCGTGCTGCCGGCCGCCTGCCGGGCGTCTTCTTGCTGCCCCCAGCTGCCTGAGGTCTTTTGGGCAGAGGGCTTCGCGTGGATTTAGGAAAGCTGGATTGCTTTGCTGGCTAGTTTATCTCCAGAAAACCAAAACGAGCGCCTTAATTCCTTTATTTTGTCTCCCTAGACACCAGGTGGGACAGTCACTCTCCTAAATGCTGACTGGGATTTAAATTTAATCTGCTCGGGAGCCTCTGTTCGGCCAGCTGCCGCCCCCTTTAGGCTCCTAGCGCTGCCCGCGCTATTCCTTGCGAGCATCTTTGCTATAGTAAGCGCAACGCTGCGGTACAGTTTCTAGCCTTAAGTACTTTGTCTACCTCTGTAGTAGGCGGAGCTTTGTGTTCATTTGACTTTTCCAGTTATTCCTTGTAAAAATGACGAGAATAGTGGATCCAGATCTTTCACCTGTACCGGTTCAAGCTCCAACGTAACTGAAGTCCTATTACATACATTGTTCCCTTTTTTAATATACTGGTTTTACGTTAGGATACAGATGACACCTTTTTTTTTAAGATTTTATTTATTTATTTGACAAACAGCGATCACAAGTAGGCAGAGAGGCAGGCAGAGAGAGAGGAGGAAGCAGGCTCCCCGCGGAGCAGGAAGCTCATGCAGGGCTCCAGGCCAGGACCCCAGCTGAAGGCAAAGGCTTTAACCCCCTGAGCCACACGGGCGCCCCCAGATGACCTTTTTGTTGTTATTTTCAAACATACTCTGATTGCTTGGAGACCTTCATCATGATGAAGAGACTGTTCTGTTGCTCATCTCGTAGATCAAAGAACAATTTATTTTACAGATGAGAAAACGGAGGCTTAAAGTGTTTTAACCAAATCACACAGCTAGATGGTGCTAAAATCAGGACGTAGTCAAAATCTTTGAGAGCCACACTCACAACGCAAACAGGGGCTGACTGAATGAGTGAAATAGGTTTTTGTTTTTAAAAAACTAGTCTGGCTTATTTTCTACTCTCACTTTCGGGATCCTTAGGAACAACTAAGAATCTTTTAAATGAGAGATTTAAAACATTTTCATCGTTGAGGGTCGGTGGGCTTTTTCTTTTTTTTTTTTTAAAAGATTGTATTTATGTATTTGATAGAGAGAGATCACAAGTAGGCAGAGAGGCAGGCAGAGAGAGAGAAGGGGGAAGCAGGCTGCCCGCTGAGCAGGGAGCCCCCTGCGGGTTCCATCCCAGGTCCCCAGGATCATGACCTGAGCTGAAAGCAGGCACTTAATGACAGAGCCACCCAGGCTCCCCTCCTTTTTTTTTTTTTTTTTTTTTTTAAGAATCTAAAAGGTAGTAGCAAGTTTGCATACTGAGGATCAAATTGCTGAATTGAAGCAAAATTAACAAATTCTCAGTTATTTTAATGTTGTAAACCTGTGGTTGGAAAAATCTATTGCTGGAATAATTGGAGGACCTCTGCGTTATGTCTTTTTCATGGTTTGCTTTAGGCTTTCTGAAAGTAATCTTGAATCCAGAGATATTTGAGGTTGACCTAATTTTAAAAAGAGCAGACCAAGATATGTCAAGAAATCTGAATGTTAAGAAGACCATACCGTAAAAACCACTACGCAAACATGTACATCTTGGCTTTCACTTGGGTGGCTGTGTGTGCCTTAATTTCTTTCTAGATTTGAAAATTTAGAATGGCCTTTGGCACTGGAATTTTAGATCTCTTAGTTTGGTTTATATTCTAATGTTCTTGCCTCTCAATCCGTTTTTATAAATTTATCTGGGACTTTTTTTGGAATAACACAGAAGAATATATCTGAAAAATACTAGGAGGGAATTGGCTGAGACATTCTTCTCTTGGAATGGTGAATGAATAACGTCATCTACTATAGGGATGTTGAAAGAGAAATGACATCGACATCAGAAGGAAATAGTTTGACACTTTATACTCTCTTTCCACTGTGAGGGAGCAAGAATTTATTGTTCCCTTCAAAGTCCTTCTAGCTGGATTAAGAATCAAATTGACATGAGACAGATTAACAGAAGAAAATGAAACTTAGTTTTTAATATATGGGGAATCCACACAGACATGGAAATTCCAAAGACAGTCAGGCAAAACGACGTATATATGTCATCCTGAACTAAGGAGAAAAGGTTTGGGGTCTAGGACTTTGAAAGGAAGGAGTGCAGCTCACAGGGCAATAAGAAGACCAGATGTTTGGAAATTGGATTTTTGCCCTGCCATATGGGTGCACTCAGATAAAATTTATCTCTGGTAGTAAACCTCATTCTGGGAAATACCCCTAACTTAGATTTTTCCATGTCATTAAGGGAGGGCAAAAGTTTCTCTTGAGCTGCAGGGTCTGGATTGCCTTCAGCTCAAGATCACCCCCATGCCAAAGTGGCATATTCTGAGGGCAACTCCCCTGAGCTCCTTCGAATTCA